TATTATCATGACTAGTAGCCACTGCTGTCAGGGAGTTGGAATTCTTTACATTTTTATTTATAAATTTTTGCAAATTGTGGAGCCACTGAGAAGAGCTCACTCAGCACAGACTCTTCTGGAACTTGTTTGTCGGGTCACCGTCACGTCACACAGTCCCCCCCCCCCCCGACCCCCTCTCTTTTTTAAACCTGGGATCTTTGCCAAGTCCTAAGCCAGGAAACCTTGTTATATTAATTATGAAGAAAAAGCATGTTTTATTTAAAATCCTGGCTGCTGAATATTCTGCCATGCTGTTTCCCTGTGACAGCAGAATGGCTTTCGCATTTAGCGAGCCCTAATGAATTTAAAATGTCACAGTGTCTGTGCCTAGATACACATGCGACTCTGCGACCTGATTTCCCTAAGTCCCAGGCTACACTGCCAAAGCTAACGAGTCGGGCTCGTGCTTAAAATCAGTTTAAAAAAATCGATAAGCAGGTGCCATGCGATTCAGGCCCTCTCTTTGCCTTAAGACTGTGGGTTACAGCGAGAGGGAGTGCTGTCTCCTAAACCTGCAAGAGACTGGCATTCTAGAGCATCAAGGCTTGGAAAAGGGGTGCTCGTATCTGAGGCCTTCTTTGTCTTGAGGGCCACGAAGATTTGGGTACTTGAATTAACAGCGGCTGAACCCGTTACTTGACCATCCAACATGGATCCCAATACTTCAACACCAAGCCAACTAGAGGAAGCCAAATATCATATGATCTCACTTATACGTGGAATCTAACAATCAAAATGAATTGACCAACAAAATAAGACCCAAAGCATGGAGGCATGGAACAGACTGACATACCTGATGTGGGGGTAGAGGAACAAGAAGAGATAAACCAAAGAACTTATATACTTACTAGAGGCCTGGTGCACAAATTCGTGCACAGGTGGGGTCCGGCTGGCCTTCCCATATCAGGGCCGATCGGGTCGGGACAGTAAGGGGGGGAGGGGATGTGGGAGGTTGGCTGGCTGGCCTCACCCCTGGTGGAACTCCCGGTCGAGGGGGAAATTTGCATATTAGCCTTTTATTATATAGGATATGCATAGCCCATGGACACGAACAATAGGATGGTGAAGACCTGGGGGGGGGGCATAGGGGCAGGAAGGTGTTAAGGGGGGTGGGGGGAATGGGAGACGTCTGTAATACTATCAACAATAATAAAATATATATATAAACAATAAAAAATATATGTATTAAAAAATAAAGTGATTATTGATAGGTTAAGAAAAAAAAAGACTTCAACACCCATGGTGATTCTGAACAACCAGATAAGATGGCTCTCTCTGTCTGTCTGTCTCTGTCTGTCTGTTGCTCTCGCGAATAGAAACAGGCAGGTGATGTGCATCAGGCAGGCAGAAAGGGTGTCAACAATAGAGACTGGTGAGGCCTGTGGGGCCTGGGTGGCTTACTGTTCTAACAATAGCAGCAGTAGCTTCTCTCGCTGCCGTGCGAGAATGTGAACTCCACGAGACTAGGATGTAGGGTTTTCAAGAAAGGCTAGAGATTTGTACTCTTATGTGAAATGTTGCCAAGCCATTGAAAGGAAATCTTCAGACTGACCCCCTACCTTCCAAATAAAACTCAGGCTGTGAGCAGAACACACCCTGAGCTGCCACTTTGCGACCTCTGGGCTAGGCAAACATTTGAGGCAGCTCTAGATCCAGGGGGAATTCTTAAGTTCTAGAGTTCCTGGGTTTAAACTCTGGGGTTTAAAAAACCCAGAAATAGGAGCAAACACACATTTTAATCCGAAGACCCCCTTATTGGGCGCAGGATCAGCCATGTCTACTCTCCTGTCTGGGGATGGATTGAGATAAGCAGGGCAGGCCCAACAAGCCTTGAGCTCTGGCTTTTGACCCTGGAAGAGGTCAGATTCCATCCTGGCTGAGTCCATGCACCCCAAATCACCCCAAGAACCACAGCAAGCAAAGGTTTCTGAGCCCTAGAGGCAGTATACGACCCCCATACAGTCAAGCAGGCCTCTGGAATGTGCCAGGAGTCAGATGGATCCGGGTCCCAATCCTGGCTGGGAAGTTAGTACACCATCTCCGGGCTTCCCATCCATAAAACAAGGATAACAGTACAGGGCTGTGCTGGGGACAGGTGTTCAACACTGACCGGTAAGGACAACCAAATCTAGGCCAGACAGGGAAGGCCCTCTGAATGGGTCCCCGTGCCCACGGTAGTGATATTTGCCCTATACCTCTTTGGATGGCAGATATTTGAATAAACATTTATGCTAAAGATGAGTCAGAGACATCATCATGAGATTTGCTGCACGGTCTGAGTTCATGGGAGGGATCCAGGTGTGCTCCCCGGGTAACAGTCACAGATCCTGTGACCACTTTTGTTTAAATTTTCCGAGGTCTGCAGAGTCCCGCCAAACAGTCCCCTGGTCTAAGAGCCTCCTGTCCCTCCAGGAAGGACCACGACCCTGAAGCAATCTCATTTGTAGCTGGGGTCCAGGTCAGAGAGCGTATCCAGACAGAGGGATACCACCGTTCAGCCACTTCCCAGCCGTGTGGCCAGAGGCCGAGCCACCAGCGCCTTATCTGTAGAGTGTGAGCAGCATTAGTGCCTCCGTCTCAGGGCCCTTCCAGTGATGGAATGGTCCCTGGAAAGCACAGAGCCTGGCACACAGGATTCTCCAGGAAATGGTCGCAGCTGGATATTATGTTTAGCTCCCTGGGGCAGGAGAGGCCGCCCAGCCCATCTGCTAAGTGGCTCCTTGCCCCCCATGATGCCTTGAACTCTCCACAGCATCTGAGCGACTTGGCCACTTTCCCCTGGATGTCTGTGTCCTGGCTTGTGAAACGCAAGCCGCCTCCCCGACCACCTGTCTGGCTCACATCTGGGGTAAGAAACATTCCAAAGCCCCGAGCCCTCTCCTTGGAACTGACTAAGCTCATCGCCTGAAGGCTCTCTCTCCTATTTCCTCTTTGATCCATTATTGGCTTATCATTTCATCGCTAACCCTAAAAATGCACCGGGGCTTGCAAAAAAAAAAAAAAAAAAAAAAAAGATTTTTTGGGACCATTATCTTTTTGTGAACTTCCAACAGACTGCATCAACTCGCCTCCTTGCCTGCAAACTTTAGGATTTAATTCTTTCTGGCTGGTCCTTTCTCTAGACCCCTATGGGCCTCTGATAATTTCTACCACTTTGCTGGAGACCTGAGTGATATTTCTGCGGGGTTTCGGCCCCAGACATCCCACAAGCCATCAAAGGATGGAGGGGGCTTGATAACAACTTGTCCTGCGGCCACACCACACACACTCGAGTTGGCATTGGAGAATGAACTCAGAGGGGAGCCACTTGGCAGCTTAAGACAGATTGGAGGGAGGCTCTGAGTACTGTTTGCCGAAAGGGGAGCTGTTTGTTTTTAAAGCATGCTAATCAGAAAACCTGGAATTTAATCTGTTTCCTGCAGGAAAAGGCCCTATGAAGTAAAATGGGAAATAAAATGCAAAGGTATTTAATGAGATAAAGAGGTTATGGTTGTTATTTCAGTTCCCATAACCTGCTCGTTCTCTGCCCCTCCCCCAATAAAGGGGCGCATTTTCTGATTTTTATAGACGACTTGTGTCCTTTCTGGAAATTTTCAGGGAAAAGAGCTGGCGCTCAGTGCAGGCCGAGTGCACCGCCTCATTCAAGCAATCCTGACCCTCCCCGAGTTTGTGAGAGATTATCACTGGGGTGGCAGGAGAGGAAATGGAGGCACAGAGGAATCACACTTGCCCAGCATTCTGAAGCTAAGATGTGGCAAAGCTGCGATTCCAGTCCTCGCTCCACCGCCCGCCCTCAGGCCTCCAGCCTGGAGCTCCAGGAGGCTCTCTGTGCTGAGGGGCCACTCATGCGCCCAGAGACGCAGCTAACACTCCCGGCCACAACGGCACGAAGCAGGAGCGGCCTCTCCACAGCTCATCTGCCCCCAAATGTCTTGAGTTCCCTATGCGAGTCCCCCTTCCCTCCCCTGCTCACCACGACCCCTGTGGGCCCTGCTCACCTTTAAATCACTCCAGTCACAGTCACGGGGTAAGGGGAAAAGCAACTGTCTCCAAATCTAGCCCATTTAAGTCAATCTGTTGCCGGGCTTACTGGCGGCTGGCAGGATTCTGCTCTAGGGCCAAAGCACAAGGATTCTAACCCTGGGGTCCCCCCAAAGGGCTGGGAAACTGGCCGTGTCAGCGTGCGCAGAGACTTTCCAGCTTTCCTTGGCTTTTTATTTTTTTAAAAAAATAATATTGTATTGATTTTTTACAGAGAGGAAGGGAGAGGGATAGAGAGGTAGAAACATCGATGAGAGAAACATCGATCAGCCGCCTCCTGCACACTCCCCACTGGGGATGTGCCCCCAACCAAGGTACATGCCCCTGACCGGAATCGAACCTGGGACCCTTGAGTCCGCAGGCCGATGCTCTATCCACTGAGCCAAACCGGCCAGGGCAGCTTTTCAAATTATTATTTATTTTTATTGATTTCAGAGAGGAAGGGAGAGAGAGAGATAGAAATATCAATGATGAGGGAGAATCATCGATCGGCTGCCTCCTGCACGCCCCCACTGGGGACCGAGCCTACAACCCAGGCATGTGCCCTGACCTAGAATCGAACTGGTGACCTCTTGGTTCCTGGGTCGATGCTCAACTACTCAGCCATACCCGGCTGGGCTCCTTGGCTTCTAAAAGGGGTCTCTGATCTGTGCCAGGTCACGACCCATGGCCTTAGCCAAATTTCTTACCCCCGTCTCTGCCTTTGGGGACAGTTCCAAGAGGGCTCAAGTCATTTGCAGGGTTTTATGGGATGAGCTGCTCAACAAAACCATCCCAGGCCTGCCTCACCTCTGGTCATCGTATACATTCGACCCAACAACACTAGTCTTTCTCCTGGCTCCTGGCCCAGCTGGTTCGGTCTTCCTAATAAGCTCACAGTCTCTCAGCCACAGGTACTAGTATTTGAGAAGAGCACTTACCCCGAAGGCTGCCTTCCCCACCAGAGTCAGAAGCAGCAGGACACGGAGATCAGACATTCTGGCAGACATCTTTGCAGCTTAAGGACTCCTGTTTTGCTCTAAATTAAATTTCTTTCCATGCCTTTACGGGGGGGAAAATGTCCGTCTCCAAGGATTCAGGAACAAATGAAGAGGATGCAAATTATTAACTAGGCATCAAATACTGTTTAATGTTTAATGTTTTGCAAACCAACTATCTTGATTAAACACATGGTAACTTTGGGGCTGGGCTGAGTCATAGGGTGGTTTCTTTTCTGGGAGAAAGTCTCCAGAAAAAGTGGCCGAGATAAGAAGCCCCCGGCTGCTGGCTGCGGGGGGAGTGAGGGGCAGCCCAGCATTCAGTGCGGGATGGTTAATAGCATCCCAGCTGCGGGATGGGAGCCCCAGGTGACGTGAGGTTTCTGCCACTGGCCTCTGACATTGCGGATTCGCACAGAATGTGAATCGAGTTCTGATTCATCAAATCTCAAACAGAATTAAGGCACGGATGAGCTCCTAATAACATCACGCTTTACATTCATGAAAGATAAATTAAAGGATGCAAAACTGCTATTGACAAACATTGATTCTGGGCCCTTTGAAGCGTTGCCCGTGGTTGCTTGTTGGCTTCAAAAGTTTTCTTTCAAATTTCATTACATAAGGTTTTTATTTTTAATTACTTGTTTCCCCCCATTGGACTCTTTCTTTGATCAAGGTGTGTGTGTGTGGGGGGGGGGGGCGGGGTGCGGGGGGAGACCCATGATGCTCATGTTTGGGGCCCATTGTTTCCTATGTTCTTTCTGTAGCTACACTGGTTGTAGGAAGGGCTATATAAAGCAACAGTTACCTATTAAGTGTGGGTTCTCCTGGACACAATTGATCTCTTTAATAAGCTCCTGTAAACACTTGATTGCCCACAGTCATCTGTGCAAGGGCTCCAGACATCCTGCTACCTGAGTCCTAAATCCAGGTTCTGAAACCCTGCTGCCGACGGAGGCAGGCGCTTACCTGGGCCTCCTGCTCGCCCATCTGCAATCCTCTTTGGCACACACACTCGGATGCTCCACCTTGGGAAGCCAGGTTGCTGGCCATGGAGGGCCCCTGGGGTCCCATCCAGGAGAAGGCCGAAGTCCATGCCCCAGCCACCTGCTGGCCCTTGAAGGACAAACCAAGTCCTGACATTTTACCTCCTGAAGGACCCCCAATTTGTCTTCTTTTCTCCACTTATTTTGTCTCCACCCCATTTTACTCAGCCATCCACTCACCTCCTTTCTGGAAAGTTCTTCTCTAATCTCATCCTACTTTTACCCCGATCCTTACTCCAACCCTCCCTCAGTCCTTAACTCTAATCCTCATCACTCTTTGGCAAGGCAATTCAGTGAGCTCACCTAGTTAATGTATCTTTCAAATCTCAGCCCAAACATTACCCCCTCCGAGGCCCTGCATCTTCCTAGCACCATCGCAATTGCATACTCATTGCTGTTTCATTAATACCTGTTCCCCCACGGCCCCCACTAAACTGAAAGCTCATGAGGGCAAGCACTCTGTTTGGCTCACCATTGAAATCCCGGCATGGAGGCCTGGCACTGACCTGGCCCGTGGTGGGTGCTCAATAAATATATGTCTTTAGAAAAAAAATTCTCACTTGAGGACAAGCTTAGAGAGATGAGGGAGAGAGAGAGAGAGAGAGAGAGAGAGAGAGAGAGAGAGAGAGAGAGAGAGAGAGAAACATAAATGTGAGAGAGGAACATTAGTTGCCCTCCATATGTGCCCCGACTGGGGATTGTTCCCAAAACCCAAGTATGTGCCCTGACTGGGAATCGAACCAGCAACCTTTTGGTGCACAGGATGACGCTCAACTACTGAGCCACTCCAACTGGGCCGAATAAATATATCTTAACATTGTGGACGGATCATGAGAATTCTCATATTTTCATATTACACAGTGTTTTACAAAGTATCATACTTTTAAAAGATATTAGCTTGTAAGACCATGTAATAAATAACTTCAAAATGCAAGGGATATTTAATTTTAAGGCGTGCCTTTAACATTTATGTAAAACGTTTTTTGTACTTGTTCAATAGAAACTTATCTGGCTAGTGGGTAAAGCTAGCAATAAAACTACTGGTCCGCAATGTGTTAAGTGAATAGCCGCTTTATGAAAGTGACAGTGGTATACTTTATAACAAGGACACCTAAGATAGCATAGCCAACTCAACGTGAAAAGAAAACCTAAAAGTATTTGTGAAATTTTTAAGCAACCTCTATTTATTGATGAACATGACATCAATCTACATCATATATTTGCCAATGACCTGCTGTGAGCCAGGCCTTGGCGATGCAGGGTCAGAGGAGGCAGAGAGGAGCTTGCTATTAAGGACCACAGGGTCTGGGTTAGGGGAAGGGAGGCAGACAATAAAAAAAAGTAAACAAGTTAATTTTTAAAAAATATATTTTTATTGATTTCTGAGAGGAAGGGAAAGAGAGATAGAAACATCAATGGTAAGAGAATCATTGATTGGCTGCCTCCTGCCCACTCCCCCCAGGGGTTCGAACCTGCAACCTAGGCATGTGCCCTGACCTGGAATTGAACCATGACCTCCTGGTTCACCGGTCAATGCTCAACCACTGAGCCATCCCGGCCGGGCTAAACAGGTTAATTTTAGCTGGTGATAGCTATGAAAAAGAATGAAAGGAGGTGATGGGACAGAAGTCCTTGTGGGTGGGAGGTTTCTGTGGGCTAAGAGGTGGTGATGATAGTGATGATGGCTGGTGGGTCACAGGTGTGGTCTGACACTGTTGATGGTTCTCTGATCGCAGAGCAAGGGCCCAAGAGGCCACGTGTTCGAGGAGCTCACTGTTGTTCACGTTCACAGCTGGAGCCTTTGTAACGTGGCACAGACGGTGAAAAGGAGAAACGGAAGTCCAGGCAGGTCGGATCCCAGAATCGCTCACGTGACTTCCGCGTCTCTTTCCCTCCTGGCCCTGTGTGAACCGGCCACCTTCTGACCTTGTGGAGGGCGTCCCAGAAGCGTTGCTTCCCATGTGATGGGGAAGTGAGCAGGGTGAGTGGGCTGTGCACCTTTTTAATCCGGATTAATTTCCCCGACATGTAATCTTCCCTTTATGACAAGGAAAAACTGCTCTTTGTGTAATAACCGCAGGCCTCCTGCACATTGTCTCTTATTTCCCTCACGTTTTGTTATCACTACAGGGTGAACTGAATACATTTCTGCACGTAGCCTGAAAGGGGAGAATCCTCTAAAAGATACTTAATCCTTTCCGTTTAGGAGGACAAAGGGGCGAGTTGATCATGGAATGTGTCTTTATCTGGGGAGCTGGACCAAACCTACCTGCAGTTTCTGATTTTTAAACTCAAGCACAGAGCCTTGGATCCTCATCCCGGTGGGGGTTTCAGCTAGTAGCCCCTCGGTCTACTCCCTCAGCTCCGGGTGACCCTGTCTCACGTGCGGGGCTGCAGGTCTCTGGAGGGAGCCCCTGTCTGCCTCGGTGACCCCGGGACTCCGCTTCTGCGGTGGCTGACTCCTTCACCCAAGGAAAGGCCTCCTCACGGTGCCCAGCCCCAGCCCCAGCCCCAGCCCCAGCCCCAGCCCCACACTCGGATGTCCTGGGGCTATGGTTGGCAAACTGCGGCTCGAGAGCCACATGCGGCTCTTTGGCCCCTTAGGTGTGGCTCTTCCTAAGCCTTAGGAGTACCCTAATGAAGTTAAAAACAACGTACCTACCTATATAGTTTAAGTTTAAAAAATTTGGCTCTCAAAAGAAATTTCAGTCGTTGTACTGTTGATATTTGGCTCTGTTGACCAATGAGTTTGCCGACCACTGTGTGGTAAGGAGTGTTTCTATTCAGCGTCACCGCCTGGGCCTCAGCCCACCTGTTTCCTATTTACTGCTCTTCCTCAGGGAGTAACAGTCCTTCTGGGCCTTGAGCGTGGGAGGCAGAGGGAAGGGGGCCCCTAAACAGGAGCCTGGACTCAAACAGACCCAGAGAGAGTGTCCTAGCTCTGCCACCCCCCTCCCCCTCCCCGCACCCTCTTCCCCCCCTCGCCCGCTGTGTGACTTTGGGTCCATCGTCATTGGCTCTCTCTAGCCCCCTGTTTCCTGGCCTGCAAAACAGGAATTGTATCATTCCCACTTCATGGCATTCCTGAGAGGTGCATGTGCACGCATAAAAGGGAGGTGCTGGGTGCAGCGGCCGGTAGAGAGCGTTCTTTGCAGACACACAGGCCTTGATCTCAATAAAGTCTTTTTATGGGATGGCACTTACTGAGCCCCCAGACCCTCGGAGATGCAAGGGCCTTGTGCTCAGTGAGTCTAATCCCCAACCTGGGGAAGGAGTGACCGTTCTCTGTGTGGGGAGTGCCTATCTCATTTGTTCTTTCTTGGACAGGGGTCAGCAAACGTTTTCTGAAAGGACAATGAACATTTTAGTTTCTTTCCTGGCCATCCAGTTTCTGCTGTGACCACCGAGTCCCGCCATTGTTAACACAAAAGCAGCCCCAGGCAATACTTAGGCTGACGGGCGATTGTTCATACTGTACAATAGGCGCCTATGTGCATTGTGACATATTGGCTGTGTTCAGCCAGTCAGATCATATTTTCATGGTTTGTGCATCAGTGATACAGGGGTAGCCAGAGCCTCGCACAGCATGGGCGGAGGTGAAAGGGGGGTGGGAGGAGGAGTCCCTGGGAAACAATGGAGACACATTGGAAACCATGGGAGGGGACCCTGGACTGATAACAGGCTGCTGCCCTCAGAGGGTTTACCCAGAAATTATGCTGCCCACGCACCACGGGGGCTGGGCCCGCGTACTGGGATCTCCGTCTTTGGCTCTGGGCTACCCCCGTGGGTAGAAGTCTGTGCCAGGCAACTCTGGTGAGAGTTAGTTTTCAGAGAGGAACTCAGCTGCCAACACACAGCAGCTGAGAGAAAGGGGGCCTCATTGCTGAGGAGGGGATCTGGTGGTACCCCCTCCCCCCTGCCCCCAGCATCCACTTCAACTGTTAATTCACAATGTCCATGCCTTGGTCCAAATATCCAATTCAGGAAATCTAACTGGCTCAGCCAGGTTTTAAATGAGTATCCCTCGTCGATCTTTGGTCTAATCAGAGATGGC